AATGATTCCCTTTGAGCTAAATTGACCTGTTTCCCTTACAAATGAATTAAACAAATACAAAAAATTATAAGACACTCTTTCTCATCCACAAAACACCTTATTGTGTCAAATTGCATCAATCAATTGAGGTGCAGGGAAGATTAAATTGAGTATTTGACACTGGTGTTATTTAAAATCACACATCTGATGTCTTTTTAACTGGAATTAAGAATTATGAGAAAAATATCTGGTTCTAATTACACCCGTTTCAAACACCCTCACCTTTCAGACCCGTGTGTCAATTCTCCTCAGGAACGTTAATTAAGTAATTCCACTGGATTCTTCCCTGTCTCCCTAATATATCCACCCATAATCTATTATGGCACAATAATTAAACATGCAAAAAGGCTGCAATTAGTTTCACAGGTTGTAAAGGTGGGCTATTAAGGTCTCGCTAAGGCTTCCTCAAGTTCACGTTGCTGGATTCCTCATCTTTATGGCATCTCTCATAAATTACACAGCTAGGTTCAAATGGGTTACACTAACTGATCTCCAAAGCCACGCTTTCAGACAGCTCTATAGCCGCCTATCAGCTAGAGTAATGCACTGATGAAACACTGTGATGCTGACATGATGCAGGTCAATGTGTCCAGCTGCTCTTAAAAGCCTTTCCTTTATTATATCACTCTCAATATTAGAATGCTTTATAGATATACAAATCATACAGAGTTCTAATGGAATACGCAGACACAGTACTCTTTAGCCAAACAACTTTCCATTACTAGTTTTTGTAAAAATAATGTGATCTTTTTGTTACAGGTGGATATTAGAATACTTTTGATATGACTGTTTATTTATGGTGCTGGCTAAAACAGCACTATTACTGTTGCTTATGCTTTACTCAACACCCTTAAACCAGTGTATTACCTATATGCACATACAGACATTTTATGAAATAATTCACTTCCAATAAATACAAGTATTTTGCTTGTATACCTTTTGAGTTGACGCAAGCCACAGTTTGAGTCCTGCTTCCATTTCCACAGTTCCCTTCGCTGGGCACACATGCGCCCTCAAACTGCACCTGCCACAGGAAGCATACTGGATCCTCACAGGGCATTGACTCCAGGAGATGAGCACAGCTTTCTGTTCCTGATCCTTCCTCCAGCACCTCTCTCCTCCTCTGCCTGTAGCCTGGGAACAGAGCGAGAGACAGGTGAATTAGGGTTATTGTGAGGGAAAATGAGTATCAGTTTCTGGCCAGTGAGTTTGAATTCTAGTGGTGGCTAAATAAGTCTATAATAGAAACTCATTTGAAAAGGCTTTCTGACACAGCTTTTGTTAGGAGAATAAATTCCTACTCCTGCTCTGCTGTAATTTGCCTGAATACACTCTTTTCATTTACTAATTTGTAAAGCTATGAGCAATGACTGCAAACTTAGATGCTAGTCATAAATGAAATAGCACTGGAATATGAACATTTAACACCTAAAAGTACTGGTTAAACATGAAGGCAAAACATTGTTCTCATAAAAAACAACAACAACAACTATGCATTGTGCTGCTAGAAAGGTCATCATCTTTTAATGCTAGTCTGTCAGCGAAAAACAAAAACAAAATACAAAACTCTTAGACCAACTGTAATTAATATTTCATACATTGGCATACGTTCTCAAAGCCAGCTCCAGCCGATATCAATATGCATTACAATACAGTGCATAAGCGAGAAAAAAGAAGAATCAGGCATTACTCCAAGCATAATTTATCAAACAAGATGATCTGATGACTAACATGAGGGTGGGATGCTAGCTGTCTGGATACCATCTGATCCTGTTTACGGTCTGTGATGAGTAGATACTAACTCCTCATATCTTTGCTCCTTGACTATGTGCATGCCAGTAGTGAGATTTGGATCATCACACACCCCTGCAGGGGGCTTGACTTGGCAGTCCTTGGAAAATCATAGTGTCAGCCAAGCCTTTGAAATAATCAAAACACCCCGCAGCTCTCAACACTGCTTTGACACAAAAAAACGGTAAACCCTATAAGACATGTGTGTATTGTGTGACGAGAGCTCTCTATATATATCATATACTGTATATAATTCAAACATTGGGGTATTACCAGTTTATTTCACTTATCATAAAATAATTGAGAAGACATGAATAACACCCTTTATCTAAGAACAGATGTATATTCTGTAGACTGCATTATGAATCATTTGTTCTGTTTCAGAATTCATAATATGACGATTCCATAAAACTTGTCTATATTCTACATACGTATTCACAACAATGGCATCTTCGGCAAAAACATGTCCATTTATCTCCGGGGACAGTCAATATGAATCTGTTTTATAACTTTTGTAAACCACTAGCATTTGTTTCTACAACTTGTATTGTAGAGTATTGTAACATATTTTGGTTCCAAAATCTGTAGCCCAGTGTTTTTATTTTATTTAATTTTTTTAGATATCCATTTCAAACATTGATATAATATTCCCAGATGCAAAAATTTACAATTTATCTCTTAAATTCTATAAATTACTGTCAAATATAAACAGTGCTATTGTTAAAACCTTCCCACTGGTGGAACTGTCTTTATTTTTTACAGGTACATATTGCGCTAATTAAATTAATTTGTTCAAAATTGTATTTACGCCATCCATCATCCATAAATCCTTCATATTTGTTATATAGATACTTATAACTTTTACTGTCATCTCAGGAGGGTTTCATATGCTGAGGAGAGAAAAGTCCTGAAGAACAGCACTAAAATAAAGTGAGAAATAAAAATGCCATTTTCTTTATTTACAAATATATAAAAAATACAAAATATTACATTTTACACCCACCCACACAAAATATATAACAATATTTCAATATATACTTCAGCACATGCAATAAAATGCAAGTTTTCTTCATTGAAGATGCAACATGACAGACTGAAGCTGTAACAAATAACTTCCTGCACCTCTGAGCCCCAAAAGCAGCATCCTTCTTCTGTAGATGACAACAGCTCAACCCCAGGACAGTAAATGAACAAATTACAACTACACATCATTCTGAAACTACACCTGAGCAGCATAGTGGAGGACGTACTCCCTTGGAGAACATGCATGCAGACACGGTTCACACACCAACAGCCCTGTTTCTGGACCAAAAGGAATGCCTGGATGGGCAGTGCCCTCCTCCAAACTGTGAAAAACAATTTGGTGGAGACATATCCCTGCGGATATTAATAATTGAAAGGTTCACGGGAGCTATCGGACTTATTCATGGGAAAGACAGGTGGGCTGCAGGCAGCGTTTCACTTCCAATACTTTAGAACCTTATCAGTCCCACTTCAATGCTCCCTACTCACATTAATGTTGGGTAGAATTTGCCACTTACAATCATTGCCAAACCAGTGTTCAATTCATTCCTCCACACATGCTTACATTCACCCAAGAACACACAAAGAGGATAAAAAAA